AGCCTCTATGTACCCATTCAATTCCTGAGCATTTTTCAGCCTCTTTTTTGTCAGAACTGGCAGCCTCACCATGCTTTATCACACTGTGTATGTCACTACGATTCATAAATCTCCCAAACCAGCCTTTGCTGGCCTTAAATTCACCAATATTAGCACTAGTTCCAGGCATTTTCTTTACACGATCATCATGCAACTGCCTTGCCTTTTCACAAATTACTGACTGCATAACACTATCGCCTGATAATTGTTTCTCATTGATCCGCACCAACAACAAAGTCTCCACACCTTCCAGTATTTGCAATCTCTGTTTTGTAAGCATATCTGCACCTTTCACAACAGCTTCCTTGATTTCCTTTCTCTTGGCCACGATAGAAGTGATGGATGTATGGGGTATGTTATACAACCTAGCCAGCTCAGCGACACATACTCCACTTTCACATTTTGCAATGATGTCTTTCTTGAATTCTATAGTGTCTCTCACCCTCTTTACCAAAGGGCTGGCACTAGAAGCTTTCTTTGGGCCCATGGTGGCTTATTCAGCAGTTACAAGCACTAAAAAGAATGGAACAATACAAAATGTATCGTATGAACGCGTGGGATCGTCCTCACTGGCTGATAAACAATGGCACACTGGCTGTAAATGGTGTGTCAGACAACTCTGACTGTGCGGACATGTTCGGGACGAATGACTAATACCGAGTTCAATGACGATCACCGAGCCAATATTTTGATGAAAGACGTTACTTATTCCAAATATTACGAAATCCAACGACGTCGTAATCCGGGGGTCCACTGTAGTTTTACATACAGAAAACAATGAGAAATATGAAATGCTAATTTTAATGGATAAATGAACATTTAAATCAGTTCTACCTTCATTGAAGACTCTTGTTGGCATATGGAAGAAAGCAAGGGAGAGGGAGGAGAGTTTATTGTTTAGAAGGGGAATCCCCTTCCATAAGGACTTCAGGTATCAAGTCCCTACCTGGAGTTACTTCCCTTCTTTGTCTTTTACTGGCACTAGGACCAGCCTGCGAGTCACTGTATCCCTGTCGCACAAAAAATCTGTCCAGAGAGGTCTGTTTCTGGCGTCTCTAAGATTTGCCTAAAATGGGACACAGCATTTTCATTGAATAAATATGTTGCAGACACTGCTTACAACAGCTTTGTTAGGGTTATATTTCTCCACAAAATTTTGCACCTCACTTCACTTTGCACAAATGTCCTTAATCGCTGAAGAAGGCACATTCTTTACGAGATCCGCATGCGACTGCCTTGCTTTTCGCAAATTATCGCCTCCACAACACTATCTCCCGATAACTGTTTTTTGTTGACCCACACCAACAACAACTTCTCAACATCTTCAGTTATTTGCAATCTCTGTTTCATTAGCACACTTACCCCTTTTGCAGCATCAGATTCCTTGATTTCTCTTTTTTTCGCCAGGATGAAACTGATCTTTCTTGAATTCTATCGTGTTTCTCACCTTCTTTATCAAAGGGCTGGAACTCAGAACTTTCTTTGGCCCCATAGTGGCTTATTTAGCAGTCACACTCAACAAACAAGCACAAAAAACATATGAAATGTTTCGTATGAACGCACAGGGTATTGTTCACTCGACAAGAAACAAAGCCAGACTGACTCAGAATGCGTGCGTGGGATGCGCTGAGCGGGCGTGCGGACACATTCGGTACGGCGGACAAAAACCAAGGTGATGAGCAAAAGCTTGTACAATATTTTGACGAAAAATTCGTCAAAAACCAGGGCAAACAAAAACCAAGGTTACACTGTATTGGTTAGCTGAGAATTGTTCTGACTATAGTACAATATAGTACTATTCTGACTTTCCTCCATGCAGTGCAGCCCAACACAAACTGTCATGAGGGACAAACCAACAAATTCATTTTTAACAATAAAGATATTAACTGGGAGTAAATAAATCATGACCTTACTGATATATGTTGGGAAGATAACATAAATAATTAAAAAAAAAAAAATGCCTTAAAAGGATGGACTAAATGGTACTAGAAGTCCACTCTAGATTTATACCATTAGAAAATAAAGCATGCAGGTCAGAAAGGAAAAGACACTCCCTACAAAGGCAGAGATAAAAATAATCACATTATTTTGAAAAGTTCCCAAAATTTCTAGAAAAAATAGAAAACATTGACCTAAAATTGAATGCATTATACAAAGCACAAAGAGATGGAGAGACAGCATAAAGCCATCAGTAAAACTGAAAATAGTTGCAGTAAGAATTGTCACACAATCCAATACTAGACAACACCTCCCCACTCTTCAAAGACCTAAATCCACTCACTTTACAAAACATTCACAGACCGGGCTGCAGGGGCGTTGACCCCCAGAACCCTCTCCAGGTATACTACTGTGCAACCTACATTTACAGAACCATAAATTCTAATATTAATCCTGAACTAAAACACTTTCTTGATAGATGCAACAGGACCCATAGACATAATACTAGACACAAAAATCTCTATGACATTCCTCGTGTCCGGCTAAATCTCTTCAAAAACTCGACTCATTGTACATAAAAGGGCCTAAAATCTGGAACTCCCTGCCCGAAATCTCTACAACCGCAGACTCAACCAGCATTTTCAAAACCACCGTTAAAAATTTCCCCAAAACACCCTATCATCAAGTAACTATGTGAAAATTGCACATGCTATTTTTGGTATCATGAACACATCCAAAAGAAATAAATTGTAATAATCTATAATTCTCTATATTTTACACTTACACTCAACCAAGTGACTGTAAACATCAAAATTCCTAATAATTACTGCTTAACTCATCTTAAGTTTGTCTGAAATACTCTTCCAATACAGGAGCTCTTATAGAAACAGTGTATCATGCCGAGATAAAACCATTCCCATTACTAAATTTACTAATGGCAACACCGTTATATGTTTTGATCTACCTCACTATTATCAATCTTATTAATGATAAACTTTTTAATTACCTAACTCTTATATCAATATGTAATAATGAACATTAAAATGTACTGTTCCATAGCCTGTGTCAATACAGAGTAGCCAGTAAGAATTAGGATTAGTCTGCCCGAAATGCCTAGGCATGCTAGTGGCCTTCTTTGTAATTAATATTTTGTAATATGTAAACCACTCATTGTAAGTTTTGCAAGGAAATAAACATTTTCATTTTCAAGTAAGCTAAAATGCTTTTTCTCGTATGGAAAATTCAGGCCAAAAACCACATCAATCATAAAACTATCACTGATGATGATAAAAAAAAAAAAAAGCCTGAAAACCCAAATTAATTTTTCATGAACAAGATTCCAAACTCTACCAAGATCTCTGGCATAACCTTAACCCCAATGAAACTTTGTAAATGCCATCATTATCATCATCATAATGATAATAATAATGATAATAATAATAATCTTTATTTCTACAAATACATGTACGTATGTACAAGGTATACATGCCTAGCTGACATCAATGACATACTACTATATAGAAAGCCACTTGTTATGCAGAGCATTTTGGGCAAATTAGGTCAATTTTGTCCTGGGATATGACCCACACCACTCGATTAACACCCAGGTACCCATTTTACCGATGGGTTAACAGGGACAGCAGTAGTCTTGTGAAAACACGTCCTAATGTTTTCAAGCCATACCAGGGATCAACCCCCGGACCTCAGTGTGTGAGCTGAGTGCACTAGCAATCCAGCTATGGGACACCCATAGCACAGCACAGCATGCCCATGTATTCCATCCCAAATCCAGACTTGCAAAGCAATAGCAAAAATTAAAGTCTGGTAGCTCTGATACTACACATTATCAAAATTCTTAATAAAAAAAGAAAAGAAATAAAATTTGTAAACATATGGAATGAACAGTTACCCACCAACCCATGGCAACATGATTTTAAAGCAGATCGCTCTTGCCTCGCACAATTGCTGGACCATAATGATGTGGTCAGGATGCCTTCATCAATTGCAATCACTGTGTAACTACACAGAGAATAGATAAACTCTCGAAACTCTTCAAAGGTATCAAAGGTAAGTGTAAGAGGAATAACTTGCAAAGCAGGTAGATGGCTATTTAATTTTACTACACTTATGTTCCATGTGGCTAATTCACACATCATAAATTTCACAACGAATTAATAAATTAGAATGGTGCACTACTAATTACCAAGAAGGATGACACCCAAAGAAGAGTACAGTAATTGAATTCACACTAATCAATATCTCCAGCAACTTAACCACAACAATTATTTCTATAATTTAACTGAACCACTGACCAGGAAAACTAGAACATTTCATAATCAAGGTGACCTGACTCACACCTCACTTACTGGACACCTCACTCGTACTTATCACAGTGCTACAATAAATTGTGGAATAGAATGGGAATTACATTCCTGAAAATGGCTTCTAATTAAAAAATGGTGTAGAATGAGCTGAAGAACCTAACTCTTATATCAATATAGGGTTATGTCACTGGGACCCCAACAATGCCAAGCATATTTTTTAAATTTCATGTCATGAAAAATAATGAAATTTTTGACACCTTACATTGTAGATGGCATTGCTACTTTTGATCCTGAAAACAACCAAAATAATCACTATTTTAGTAGTATGTCTTCCTGTCTATAACATGATATCAAATAACAGCCAATGCAACTATAAAAACCATCTGAGAAACCACCAGTCGCTATTTTAAACCATGCACTGAATAGAGCAGGATTTTTTTTATAATATGCACACTCACAATAGGCTCATTCTCTCATATCTGGGCCAAAATTTACTGTTCAGTTTATCTGAGTGAGCTGAGCTCATGATGTAGAGCTACATGAGGGGATCCTGGTCTCAATGATGTATTTCTATGTGATGGACACTGAAAAGGTTCAAGTACCTTCAGTGTTGCAACCCCCCCCCCCCCCAAAAAAAAAAAAACTCCTGAAATGTAGAGAATATTACTAACGGTCAGTCTTTATGAGAGAAGTACTCACCTGCTGGACTTAGCTTTACAGATGCAACAGCCTGTTGTAGATCTGTACACCTTAGGCTTGTGGAAAGAAAACATATTTATGTTTTGGGCTGAACCTGAAAATAAAAAAAAAAAATAACTACAGTATAACCTAGCACTTGTCCATCACTTATATTTTTCATTTGTTTCACATTATAATTTGTTAAGTAAGATATAATTTCACACTGGATACACAATTCTATTATTTTTCTTATATATATAAGCAGTATCATGAAAACATTTTCTAAGTTTAATTACTTCATATTGTATTTTCTCGCCACATACACATATAACAGCTTCTCTTACAATATAGTTTACACTGTTTAAAGCAACACTGATCACTACCATAACAAATTTTTCTGATTGAAAATTCACTTAGATCACATCACTTTAAAGACACAGGACAGAAATCTTTCTAGGATGGCCTTACAAATGCAACACTGAGAATTCTTCCATGACTACCCACCCTATGGTGGGTCTAATCTCATTTGAAACTTAGGACATATTTCAGTGAGGAGCTTTTCCTTCAAGAAACTGAACTTATCCTCCCTTTCACCGAATCCAACATGAATGCATCCCATTTGCCAGGTGCTGTGACCCCAACAGGATTAGTTTTCCCTGATTTCAAAAGAAAAATCCAATATGAAATAACAAAATATCCTTAAGAGTTTCACGCTATCATCCAATTATACAGTTTGTTCTTTTTGGTTGTTGCAATATACAGTACGTATCACCTTGTCAGTATTTTCGGATATAAATTTATTTCACATTTTATGCTAACACGAGGGCCAGACAAATGGAGGGTAATGGAACAGAATGAGGACGACAGAGGACAGTATGAAAGTGTGATGGAGTCAGCAGGAGGGTAATCGAACAGCCTGGTGTGAGCGAGACAAGATGAGGGTGTGAGGGAGACCGGAGGGTGTGAGGGAGACAGGAGGGTGTGAGGGAGACAGGAGGAGGGTGTGAGGGAGACAGGAGGAGGGTGTGAGGGAGACAGAAGGAGGGTGTGAGGGAGACAGGAGGAGGGTGTGAGGAAGACAGGAGGTGGGTGTGAGGAAGACAGGAGGAGGGTGTGAGCTAGACAGGGGGGTGTAAGGGAGAATGGAGGGTGTGAGCGAGACAGGAGGAAGGTGTGAGCGAGACAGGAGGAAGGTGTGAGCGAGACAGGAGGAAGGTGTGAGCGAGACAGGAGGAAGGTGGTGAGCGAGACAGGAGGGTGTGAGCGAGACAGGAGGGTGTGAGCGAAACAGGAGGGTGTGAGGGAGACAGGTGTGAGGGAGGCAGGAGGAGGGTGTGAGGGAGGCAGGAGGAGGGTGTGAGGGAGGCAGGAGGAGGGTGTGAGGGAGGCAGGAGGAGGGTGTGAGGGAGGCAGGAGGAGGGTGTGAGGGAGGCAGGAGGGAGGTGTGAGGGAGGCAGGAGGAGGGTGTGAGGGAGGCAGGAGGAGGGTGTGAGGGAGGCAGGAGGAGGGTGTGAGGGAGGCAGGAGGAGGGTGTGAGGGAGGCAGGAGGAGGGTGTGAGGGAGACAGGAGGAGGGTGTGAGGGAGACAGGAGGAGGGTGTGAGGGAGACAGGAGGGTGTGAGGGAGACAGGAGGGTGTGAGGGAGACAGGAGGAGGGTGTGAGGAAGACGGCAGGATGGTGTAAGCAAGACAGCAGGAGGGTGTGAGGAAGACAGCACAAAGGTGTGAGGGAGACAGCAGGAGGGTGTGAGGGAGACAGCAGGAGGGTGTGAGGGAGACAGCAGGAGGGTGTGAGCAAAGCAGCAGGAGGGTGTGAGGAAGACAGTAGGAGGGTGTGAGGAAGACAGCAGAAAGGTGTGAGGGAGACAGGAGTGTGTGAGGGAGACAGGAGGGTGTGAGGGAGACAGCAGGAGTTGAGGGAGACAGGAGGATGTGAGGAAGACAGCAGGAGGATGTGCGGAAGTCAGCAGGAGGGTGTGAGGGAGACAGCAGGAGGGTGTGAGGGAGACAGCAGGAGGGTGTGAGGGAGACAGCAGGAGGGTGTGGGAGACAACAGGAAGGGGTGAGAGAGACCGCAGGAGGGTGTGAGGGAGGCAGCATTAGGGAATGAGGAGGAGGAGGAGGGTGTGAGGGAGGCAGGAGGAGGGTGTGAGGGAGGCAGGAGGAGGGTGTGAGGGAGGCGAGAGGAGGGTGTGAGGGAGCAGGAGGAGGGTGTGAGGGAGGCAGGAGGAGGGTGTGAGGGAGGCAGGAGGAGGGTGTGAGGTGAGGGAGCAGAGGAGGGTGTGAGGAGGCAGGAGGAGGTGGGGTGAGACAGGAGGAGGTTGTGAGGGAGACAGGAGGAGGGTGTGAGGGAGACAGGAGGTGTGAGGGAGACAGAGGTGTGTGAGGGAGACAGGAGGAGGTGTGAGGAGACGGCAGGATGTTGAAGCAGAAGCAGGAGGGTGTGAGGAAGAAGCACAAAGGTGTGAGGGAGACAGCAGGAGGGTGTGAGGGAGACAGCAGGAGGGTGTGAGGGAGACAGCAGGAGGGTGTGAGCAAAGCAGCAGGAGGGTGTGAGGAAGACAGTAGGAGGGTGTGAGGAAGACAGCAGAAAGAGTGTAGGGAGACAGGAGTGTGTGAGGGAGACAGGAGGTGTGAGGGAGACAGCAGAGTTGAGGGAGACAGGAGGATGTGAGGAAGACAGCAGGAGGATGTGCGGAAGTCAGCAGGAGGGTGTGAGGGAGACAGCAGGAGGGTGTGAGGAGACAGCAGGAGGGTGTGAGGGAGACAGCAGGAGGGTGTGGGAGACAACAGGAAGGGGTGAGAGAGACCGCAGGAGGGTGTGAGGGAGGCAGCATTAGGGAATGAGGAAGACAGCAGGAGGATGTGAGGAAGACAGCAGGAGGGTGTGAGGGAGACAGCAGGAGAGTGTGAGGGAGACAGCAGTAGGATGTGAGGGAGACAGCAGGAGGGTGTGGGGAAGACAGCAGGAGGGTGAGGGAGGCTGCAGGAGGGTGTGAGGAGACAGCAGTAGGATGTGACGAACGACAGCAGGAGGTATGAGGAAGACAGCAAGGAGGTGTGTGAGGAAGACAGCAGGAGGGTGAGGAAGACAGCAGGAGGGTGTGAGGGAGACAGCAGGAGGGTGTGAGGGAGACAGCAGGAGGGTGTGAGGAAGACAGCAGGAGGGTGTGAGGGAGACAGCAGGAGGGTGTGAGGAAGACAGCAGAAGGGTGTGGGGACAGCAGGAGGGTGTGAGGGAGACAGCAGGAGGGTGTGAGGGAGACAGCAGGAGGGTGTGAGGAAGCAGCAGGAGGGTGTGAGGGAGACAGCAGGAGGGTGAAGAAGACAGTAGGAGGTGTGAGGGAGACAGCAGGAGGGTGAAGACAGTAGGTGTGAGGGAGACAGCAGGAGGTATGAGGGAGACAGCAGGAGGGTGTGAGGGAGATAGCAGGAGGGTGAAGAAGACAGCAGGAGGGTGTGAGGGAGATAGCAGGAGGGTGAAGAAGACAGCAGGAGGGTGTGAGGAAGACAGCAGGAGGGTGTGAGGGAGAGCAGGAGGGTGTGAGGGAGATAGCAGGAGGGTGAAGAAGACAGCAGGAGGGTGTGAGGAAGACAGCAGGAGGGTGTGAGGGAGACAGCAGGAGGGTGTGAGGGAGATAGCAGGAGGGCGTGAGGAAGACAGCAGGAGGGTGTGAGGAAGACAGCAGGAGGGTGTGAGGAAGACAGCAGGAGGGTGTGAGGGAGACAGCAGGAGGGTGTGAGGAAGACAGCAGGAGGGTTTTGAGGGAGACAGCAGGAGGGTGTGAGGGAGACAGCAGGAGGTGTGAGAAAGACAGGAGAGTGTGAGGGAGATAGCAGGAGGGTGAAGAAGACAGCAGGAGAGTATGAGGGAGATAGCAGGAGGGTGTGAGGAGACAGCAGGAGGGTGAGGTGCAAGAGGGTGAAAAAGACAGGAGGGTGTGAGGGAGACAGCAGGAGGGTGTGAGGGAGATAGCAGGAGGGTGTGAGGAAGACAGGCAGGAGGTGTGAGGGAGATGCAGGAGGGTGAAGACAGCAGGAGGGGTGAGGGAGGGATGATAGCAGGAGGGTGAAGACAGCAGGAGGGTGTGAAAGGAGACAGCAGGAGGGTGAAGAAGACAGCAATAGGGTGTGAGGGAGATAGAGGAGGGTGAAGACAGCAGGAGGGTGTGAGGGAGGCAGGATTAGGGTATGAGGAAGACAGCAGGAGGATGTGAGGAAGTCAGCAGGAGGGTGTGAGGGAGACAGCAGGAAGGTGTGAGGGAGACAGCAGGAGGGTGTGAGGGAGACAGCAGGAGGGTGAGGGAGACAGCAGGAGGGTGTGAGGGAGACAGCAGGAGGGTGTGAGGGAGAAGCAGGGGTGTGAGGAGACAGCAGGAGGGTGTGAGGAAGACGGCAGGAGGGTTTGAGGAAGACGGCAAGGAGGTGTGGGGAAGACAGCAGGAGAGTGGAGGGAGGCAGCAGGAGGGTGAGGAGACAGCAGTAGGAGTGACGACGACAGCAGGAGGGTATGAGGAAGACAGCAGGAGGGTGTGAGGGAGACAGCAGGAGGGTGTGAGGAAGACAGCAGAAGGGTGAGGGAGACAGCAGGAGGGTGTGAGGAAGACAGCAGGAGGGTGAAGACAGGAGGTGTGAGGGAGACAACAGGAGGGTGTGAGGGAGATAGCAGGAGGGTGAGAGAAGACAGTAGGAGGTGTGAGGGAGATAGCAGGAGGGTGAAGACAGCAGGAGGGTGTGAGGAAGACAGCAGGAGGGTGAGGAAGACAGCAGGAGGGTGTGAGGAGATAGAGGGTAGGAAGAAAGAAGCAGGGTGTGAGGAAGACAGCAGGTAGGGTGTTGAGGGAGACAGCAGGAGGGTGTGAGGAAGACAGCCGGAGAGTGTGAGGAAGACAGCCGAGAGTGTGGGAGATAGCAGGAGGTGAGAAGACAGCAGGAGGGTTGAGGGGAAGCAGGAGGGTGAAGAAAGAACAGTAGGAGGTGTGAGGGAGACAGCAGGAGAGTGTGAGGAGATGCAAGATGTGAAGAATGACAGCAGGAGGTGTGAGGGAGACAGCAGGAGGGTGTGAGGGAGACAGCAGGAGGGTTGAGGGAACAGCAGGAGGTGTGAGGGAGACAGCAGGAGGGTGTGAGGAAGACAGCAGGAGGGTGTGAGGAAGACAGCAGGAGGGTGTGAGGAAGACAGGAGGGCATTAGTGCGTGGGAGAGAATGGCATGAAAGGCATGAGAACAGGAGGGGGGCAGTGTTAAAGCATGAGTAATGTGAGGGTAGAGAGGCAGCATGAAGGTGAGGTTATATAAGGCCGCCCAGTCCTATGCTTGACTTGGGATCTGGTACATCCTCACATCTCAACTTTTCAAACAATCGCTTCTTGAGAGCACAGGGCGATCAATATTTCCATATGCAGTGGTGAGCATCAACATTGTAGCATCCACTTCATGGTTCTTCCAGATGACACACACTAAGCGAGTACAAAGCCTTCATCAAATAACTTGCACATTTACGATAGAATAAGGCCAGAAACTTTCATCATCAAGCCTTCACTGCCAACAGTGTAGCAACCAACGGCCAAATTTCATTTTAATTTTGCGGTTTACCATGAAAACACCACTAGAAACGCATCCAATTACCTTATTTGTTACTAATAATTCAATACGAAAGTTGTCACAACACAAAAATTATAAATAATGGAAGCAAAGTAGGAGGCGACACCGTCCACGCCCACCCCGTGAACAAAGCACAGCAAACTGATACCAAATCGCGATCATGGGGGGAAGCCCAGTCCCACTCCCTGTGATGCTCCCAAGTCCCCGCTACCTGTGCTCGCTCTCCTACCCATTATTTGTTCCGCTTTATTTTGAGCTTATTTCACAAAGACATTAATCGTGTAAACAGTATTGTGTATCTAGATGATGACTAAACCATTATTAATTATAAAAGTTAAAAATATATTTTTCTGAAGGGTGATTTATCAAATATTTCGTAGCTGAGGCCCCCTTGTGGCCTCAGACCGTCGGCAGCGATCAGCTGGACGTGACGTCAGTAGTG